GTAACTTAACAGACAAGCATCCTTCATTGCTTTGAACACGAGCACTTCTGCATTTAAAGTGTATGAACCAAGGATGAAGAACAATTGAGAACCTAGTCCGTTTCCTACGTGTTATGGATTAAGTACAGGGTCTTATGAAGCTTACATAGGCAGTCTGCCACTAAGCCATGTACTTCTAGCACAACACAGTCAGTTTTGAATATCAGTTTACCATATGCACATGTGAGAAGGTGGCTGCCATTCCTGGTGATGCAAGTGCAGGGCCACAAGCCCTTAACACTTCAGCCAACAAGTCAATTAGTGGTCATTTGAAGAACGAAGGGGTTGCGGTTCAAAAATCTTCGGCAAATAATCCTGAGAAAGATCAAAAAAGTTCCAACAACTAAATTCGGAAGGATTTGGGTCAAAGTCAGAGGCATAGACTCACATAGGTGTTCTCTAATGGCATACCTGAAGGTCAGATAACTTTTAGGCCAACAGGGTCACAGCTGAACATGAGTCAAAAGTACTCTAAGTATGTCTGTCTACAAAAAAATGTTTACAGAATCATTGCGTTTACTTAATCTTGTCTTTATTAGTGTTTGTGCCTAAAAAGTCTAGGAGGAAAAACAAGCATCTCCAACTCAAAAGGGCTACAATATAAATCTATGAGTATTGGGTTGCCTGGATCCTTGAGCATCCAATCCTTGAAACAATGTGTCCAGACAGTAGCACATTCAGTCTAAAAAGACGATTCTATTGCCTTAAAATACTATGTTTGCCTTGTTATGTTTTGGCCTTTTTGGGGACCTGTTACTCCCTCCTTCTTTGCTGTTGTTTCCTTTGGGAATGGGAATATCATTCTGTGGTGGTTTGAAGAAGAATGGCCCCCATCGCTCATATATTTGAAAGTTTGGTTCCCAGTTGGTGAACTGTCCAGAATGATTAGAAATCAGGCCTAGTTGGAAGACTTGTGTCACTGGGGGTGGACTTTGAGGTTTCAAAGGCCCATACCCGGACTAGTCTTACTCTTTCTCTACCTGTTTCTTGTAGATAAGACACGATCTCTCAGCTCTGTGTGTCTGCCTGCCTATGTTATGTTCCCTGTCATGATGTTCATGAACAAATGTTCTGACGCTCTCAGCAAGTCCACAGTAAGATGTTTTCTTTTTTATGTTGCCTTGCTCACAGTGTCTCTTCCCAGCAATAGATCAGTGGCTATGACACTCATATTCCTGTCTTACCATTGAACTTTGGAAACACATGTTTTACACCAAGTTTAGAGGTGGGGAGCAACTGGCCTTGGTATGAAGCCCATCTCTTACTCGCAGATCTGACTAAAATGATGGAAAGGACTCCAGACTTAGACATTTCAGTTGATACTAGGATGAGTTAAGACTATGAGAGCTACTGGGATGGAATGAATATATTTCTTATACGGCGAGGTGGATCAGGAGAACTCATGTGGTTCGAATGTACTCCCTCCAAACTCATCTTGCCAATATAATCATAGTAAGAGGTGAGAACTTTTAGAAGAAATGGTGTGTAGGGGACTCAGTCCTTGTGAATGAGAAGACCATGGCAAAGGGGGGTTCACATTTTATTTGCTCTCTTCCCATTCTGCCTTCAGCCATGTGAGGTTGTGGCATCTCTCAGCATCCCCACAGAGGGCACATCTCTCACCAGCAATTAAACCTGCCAACACTTTGGTCTTGGGTTTCCTTGCTAACAGAGCCTTGCAAAAATCACTAACTGAGGCTTTGGTATTCTCTTCCAGCACAAATGGACTAGACACCATTTCCTTTTCTGGTAACTCTTGCCAGCCTTTTCTTTATGGCTTCTTGATGGTCTTTATATTTGATTCTGGCTATAATTTTGACTTCCGTATACACATAAAGGTAAAGAAGGTAGGCTTAAAGCAACACTATTGGTACTCAAATTCCAGATTCTTGGTTATTGGCTGTGAGACTTTGGATTAAGTCACCAAAACCTCATCTTATCATACTTTCCTCAACTATAGATTTGGAATAACCCACAGATGAAAAAAACTTTCACAAAGTTCTTATGAAGAGTATCTCATGGATGTGATTGCTTGGTATGTATTAAATGTCCTTTTAACATTGTTCTGCAACTGATTCATGAATATAAGTATATTCTCTAATATATTTTGAGAGTTTCTAATTCATAAGTTACACATACACACTTCCCTTTCAGGATGCCTGCCCTTCTCTCTGCAAACAATGCCTGCTGCGGCATAATCCTTCTGTATGCTGTGAACATATATTGCTCTCATTGGTTGATAATAAAAGCTGATTTGACCTACAGCTAGGCAGGAAAGTCAGATTGAGAATACAGAGAGAAGTAAGGTGGAGTCGAGGGAGATGTGAGCCAGCCACCCAGGAAGCAAGATGCCAGAGGACTGGCAAAGCTATGGCCATGTGGTGATATATAGATTAATAGAAGTGGGTTAATTTAAGTTGTAAGAGCTAGTGACTAGTAAGCCTGAGTTATCAGCTAAACATTTATAATTAAGATAAGCTTCTGTGTGGTAGGGCTCTTGCTGGGAGCTTGAAAGCAAACAGACAGGAGACAAACCTCTGCTTACAAATACCTACCTGTTACATAGGAAGGATGGGTCTTCCGTCAACATAAGATCTTCTACCGGTTGACTTACATGATGTTTTAAAGGCATAAACCTGACTTTCAAGTGACAGAACAGACTCAGGAACTTGTACAAGGCCCACAGCCAAGTGTGGGCTGCTAGGATCTGTGTCTAGGTTTGTGAATCTAAAGGCTTGAGGTCTTTTCCTTTCTTGCATGTAATCAGTGCATGACAGAGGGAAGAAAGAATGCAGGCATATAAGCACTGCAGAGTGCCATGATGTCTTCAAGGTGAAGCAATCATAATTATCAGCAGCTCTGAGGGGCTCAAACCCAGGTCGAATGATCCCTGTACTATTCCTTAGTATCCACCTTTCTACTTGTAGGAAACAAAAGTCACCTTAGAGAAATTTTGTGGGGTTTTTTGAGACAGGGTTTCTCTGTGTAGCTTTGGAGCCTGCCCTGGAACTCACTCTGTAGACCAGGCTGGCCTCGAACTCAGAGCTCCACCTGCCTCTGACCCCTGAGTGCCGGGATTAAAGGTGTGCACCACTACCGCCTGGTGAAAAAAAATAATTTCTTAAAGGGACAAAGTCATAGAGCACAAATTTCATGTTAGTTATATGTAAAACAGAGTGTGTCCATAATGCTAAGAGGAGGTTTATCCCTCTATATTTTGTCTGGCAGAAACCATATACTAACATGGTACAGGCAAGTTCATTGACCATAGTATGACAATCTTTCATTGCAGAAATAGATGTTTACTTATTAGTTTTACTTGCAGGAATAGAAGACATTTCTCTAACAATTCAAAAGAGAAAAATAATGAAAAGAAAATCTCGATTGCAGTAGTGTGTCATTTTATTGATTTCATCAATTACTTAATACATGGAGTACATAAAATTTTATTTGATTTTATACAAAAGAAAACAGAAAATCTAGAAGATTTGCATAACAATGAAACCATGCAAGGCAAATGTCTAACAACGGGAAGTATGGTTATCTGTGTCTGAAGGTGAAAAACATGCTGTCATACAAACACAGAAGCCACGGTGTTCTGCAAGTTCCTTGAAAACAGAAAATGCCCTAGTAGAACCAACTTACAGACCTTGGAGTGTAGTTCGCTTCAGAATGAGAGAAGTTCATTCATTCAGGCCTATGTCAAACAATATGCCAGGAACAGAGGAAGTACCAAGTTGGAGCAAGCTTAGTGGGGGCTGAACACATGCTCCTGGCGTGGCAGAGGTCATCAATGACTTCAGGTGATGCCACTTGGCGATTCCTTCCCATAGACGTGCTTTACTCACATACCGTCTGCTCCTCTCTTCCCCCAGTGTGTTTGGATGTTCTGTTCCCTGAATGTTTTCACAGATGGGAGACGGAAGGTGGAAGAGGAAGCGACATAGACAGCACTACTCACCAGGAAAGCCAAGACTGGATTCAGGCTTTCTGATTGACAAATTTAGGACAAAATTAAATGTTTGTTCTTCATTCCAAGTGGCTATTTTTTTTTTTTTTTTTTTTGCGAATGCTGCTGGGTTGATTGAAGAACTTCCAGAAAGAAGTTGGTGTGAAATTGGTTGAGCGGATAGGAATGTAAAGTGATGCGCACTGAATACACAGAGTTTGCAATCAGTGCTCATTACTCAACCAAGGAGCAGATGAGATTCCACAGCCATCCTGGTTATGGTGCAAGAATGTATTTTAAAGTAGAAGAGGCTGGCCAAAAAAAGCATCCATAGTTACATGAATCTCTTCTGTCCTCAGGGCTGAGTCTAGGAGGGAGCAACAAGTAACTACTTCATTTAAAATTGTTTATGACTTCTCTTTTAAATTAACAAAAATTCTCATGGGGTTCCAGATGGCCTGGGATGAAATTAGGGTCCCTCATTATCCAGATTCAGAAGAAAGACTTCATAGAAGTTGCCTGATGTGAACTGATTTTTACTAATGACATAAACCATCTATTCTCTTAAAACCTCATACTGGTGAGCTTTGCTGTCTGCATGTATCTCTTTAATTAAAAAAAAGAGTGTTTTGATGCTGTCTATCAAGTCCATGAACTTTTCTAAAAATGCTTATGAGCTCAAGGTAGATGTGGGGGGGGGGGAATATTGGATTTCATAGCCTGGTCCTGGTCCCTGGAGGGCCCTGGGACTATATGGACAAGAGCCAAGGCTAAATCATGAACTGATGGTCGAAGTTCAAATTCAGGGCACTCTAGAAAGATGAGCCTTTTGCTTTTAAATGTCATATCACTCTTTATGTATATGTACTGGAACATACATGAAGAAAAAAAAACAAGATTAGGGGTCTTGGGGAAAACTAACTACATCTTCACTTTAAATTTACTTTCATCTCATATTCAATGTAAACAAAAGATTAACAAAAATTATCAGCACATATAGCCCAAAGCACCGTCACTGTTGTCCAGGTTTCTGCCAAACTTCAAACTAATGTTTTAGGACTATGATAAGCAAATAAAATGATTATTCCACTTTTCTAAGGTTCTCTCATCCCCAATCAATCATGTTTGGGTTTGAATTCAGGACTCAGGGTCTAAGGATCTCTAAGGCGTGGCTTATCTGCTATGGAATTATGACTGTCCTCAAGTGGAGGCAGCGCTGTGGGAGCCCCAGTGGATGTCCATGTGCAGAAACTGCTGCAGGAAGCCTTCCTACCAATCAGCACAGCCCACCATTCCCACTGGGTCAGCCACTGGAACTGCTCAGAATCACAGAAGGGAAGGTGGCTTGGTTCACATATAACCTTTACACAAATACACTCAAGTACATATAACGGGCTCATGTATAGTTTTACATGTAGTGTAGGAGACTTTCTTTGCACTTGGAACTCTGATTTTCCATGCTCACCAATGTGGTATTGCATCATAAATATTCATAGGTTACCAATTTAAAGAATGCTCAAACTGTTGCCTAGATTGGAATGCAAAAGATTACAAAAGAGGCCGAGGGAGAACCACTGTGAAAGCCATGACATTTATTGAAGGGAGACATAGTTTGCAAATCACAGTGCTGCATACATGACATGGTTCACAAGGATATCCCAATTAGGCTTGTCACAGACTTGCCACATACTGTCTGTCCCTCCCTCCATTAAAAAAAAATAGAAAGAGGGAAAACACTATTTCGTCATTATGTTTACAAATACAAATGGTAACTTTCAATCAGAAAATCTGTGCTTGAGCAGTAGGAAAAATCCATGTTGACTTCCCTGCCCCATTCACAAGCTTCTATATGGGAACAACTTTTCAGTGAATGACTTTAATAACCCAACTTGTATCTCATCACAGGCTCAGTCAATAGAGCAGCAACTGCAAGGAGTGGCAGCTGTCTAACATCTATCTCCTTCAACAAGCCACCTTGTTTTTGAGAATCAACATAATATTTCATTTTTGAAACAAGAAAAAAATTCATCTAATAAAAGGAATTATACAGCATATTTATACAAAAAATTGTTCAGTTTAAATGTTCAAAACTTCACTAATTGGATTTTTGCCCAGAGGAAGAAATTTGACGAAAACTGTTAAAAAAAAAAAAAAACTAAAAATAAAGGAAAGAAAGAGGGAAAAATGGCATATGGTTCTTATTGTACAATTTAAGCACTTATTTTCCTAAAAAAGTACCTTTAACATTAGCAATAAAATGTGAAACTTCATTTCTAGAACATAGACAATTAAAAAAAGAAAATATGTATTTTGATGAGTAGAAAGAGAAAGGTAAATTAAATTGTTTTTCTAAGTTCTCTGCCTTTTTTTTCTCCCTTTGCATTTAATGTAATATCCAACTGTGATTAGTGTTTATGAAAGGAAGCCACTGGTTTTTATCCCAGAAATTAACACAAAATTTCAGCATTATGACTATCTGATGTAGAAATATATAATTAAGGTTAAGACTCATGATACAAGTAAAATCAGAAAGTTCTAGAAACCAAAGCGTAACTTGCTTTGCTCTGGGCAACCTGGTGTTACTAAGCATTTATGGACACACCAGCTTATCTCATGCAAAAATTTTCCAACTCTTGCTACTTGGTTGGGATTAAGACTTGGCGACTGGAGATAGGGTCTTCAATTTTATCTCTCTGGCTCCAATACTCTATTCTTATTCCCTTACATTCCTGACAGTAAGGAATATTTCATCAAGCTATTTTTATAACAACTTAGATATTACTCATATTGGATCTGAGTGGAGCATTTTCCCCAGATTTTTAACTTCTTTAGCATCTTTTTCTGTTCTTCTTCAACCTCTCTATTTAAGGGAGCTGTGTACAACACTCAGGCTCTAAGTGATAGAATACTCAGATAGGCCGGTGCCAATGCTGTTTCTGCTCACTGGTATGACTGGCTCCTCGTTCCAGTTTACAAAAGAGCTGGCTCGCTCCTCGTCATCTTTGGCTGAATCCACTGCAGCTGTAGCATTGAGGGGAAGCTCTTGCACTCACTGTGCAAGACAGTAATGAAAGCAGGAATCCACACACATGCCACGTTCACTGCCTGATGCTGCTATAGAAACAGGAGTACTAGCAAAATAGCTACATGTGTGCCCATAAGACAGTGTCTCCAGACAACTTGAACCCTTTCTAGTGTGTGTGCGGGTGTGTGTGTGTGTGTGTGTGTGTGTGTGTGTTAGAGCGGGAGGTGTGTGTGCAGGTCAGAAGACAACCTCAGATATTGTCCCTCAGATTCCATCTACCGTATGGACATGTGAGAGAAAGACAAGGGTCCCTCACTGACCTGGAGCTCATCAAGTAGGCCAGGCTAGCTCCAGGGGTCCAATGGTCTCCACCTCTATAGCAATGGGTTACAAAGACTTGTCCTTTCTAAATGAGGATTCTGGGGTCTAACTCAGCTCTGTGTGCTTCAAACGGTCTCACTGACTAAGCCATCTCCCTAGCCTATTGTTAAATCAAACTCTCTTCAGTCCGCTACTAATCATTCACTGAACTCCTAGTATGATGATACGGGGTAGCTTTTTCTGAGCCCCCCCTAAAAAGAAAAAGGCCTTTTTTAATGAACAACAGCAGAACATGTCAATATATACTTGGTTCTCTGGTTGGTTTTAAGTAATCTCTTCCACATAAAGAGAAATGAAGAAAATCACTGACATTGAGGAAGGGGTAGGGAGAGAGACAGTCAGCGCTTGCTGATGCCATGTCTGAGCCAAGGACTGAAAATAGGTATAAGCTGCAGAACTCCTAAGCCTCTTAAGTGGAGGGGATATTTATTTTTGCCATTTTATGGATGAAAGAAAAGAAGCTTTAAGTTTCAGTGTTATTTGCAATGATTCCTCAAGCTTCAGTAGAGTTTGTGCACCTTGGAGTGTTGGCTCAAGAAAGCACTACTGGGATAGTTCTAGAATCTGAACTATGATTTGAGTAATTTCAAAGGAAGCCCTCATGCTCACTGTCCTCCTGTAGTTCAAATTACCAACCATGATGCAAACTGTTCTGGTCTAAAAAAATACTTGATCTTCTTGGACTGAGAAACTACTATTTTGTATGGCTATAAATTTGCTTCTGAGATTTTTGGCTTTATTTTTTCCTTAAATTGTTATTTTCTTTATGTCCAGAAATATCTCTCTTTTCCTCCGTCCTTCTCTCCCTTCCTCCCTAATTGTGCTTTTGTGTGTGTGTGTGTGCTCGCACACACGCGTGTACATACATACTCATGTGCAGGCCAGAGGTCAGCTTCAGGTGTTCTCTACAGGCACATCTTGTTTTGGTTTTTCTGTTTTGATTGTTTTGGCACACGGTCCCTCATTGGCCTGTGGCTGACTCACCGAGTAGGCTAGAATGACCAGCCAGCAAGCCCCAGGGGTCTGTTGTCTTGTCCTCCCCAGTGCACACTGCTATACCTGGCTTTTTTACACGGTAGCTTCTAGGGCTCAAACATTGGTCTTCATGCTTCCATGGCACAAACTTGACTAACTGAGCCTTCTCCATAGTCCCATCTATTTGATTCTGTTTTGTTCTGATTTGTTTATGGAGACAGAATTCTCATTACATAGCCCAGGCTGGCCTCAAGCTTGGAATTCAGCTGGGATTACAGATGTGTGCCACCCTCCATGATGAAGCAATTTTTGCATGAGTTAGATTTCTTCATACACTCACAATTTTTTTTAAGATGAAGAAAATTTTGCTGTGATTCTCTAAGCCTCTCAATATTATAAAACAAGACCCTGTCACAACCTGACTTGGATGGGAACTATGAATTGACGTATCAAGACATGAATCTTGCTGTTATCATATTTTCATCTTTCATATTCAGATATTAATGAAATCACCAGTGTTTAGATAAAAGGAAAAGACATGCTGATAAATTGACTCTTTCTAAAGATAAGTCCCAATAGAGCAATTCAAGGGCAGAGTTCCTTTGGTATGCTGTCCTACCTCATTTTGATTTAATGTGCAGGAAAAACCAGCAAGCTCCTTCTCACTGATTCTCTCCATAGAGTTTTATTCTCCTTTCTTTACCCAAGAAACCTTCCAGCCCCAATGGCTATTCTACCATCTTAAATTGTGACTCATAATTTAGGTAGGTTATTGTTAATTTCGAATTCCAGTAGTGGCATAGAAACAAGATTTAAATTCAGCCCAATAATTGAAGTCGGACATCATTCAAATGGAAAATAAAACTTGAAAGGATGTGAGAGCCCTTTTTGGTTGCAGAGGATTTTATTCTTATTGCCTCTAGGGTAAATAATAGATTTTTTTCAGAAATTGGGTCCTTACTAGCCGCAGTTCAACAAATGCATGCAAATGGACATCTGTGAAATAAATCTGTCACGGAGGTGGCACCTGGAAATGAGGTCTCAACCAGGAAGCAATTCATTATCACAATAAATCATATCAGTGGTCTATGCGGACACCCACACCTCTTCAACATAAAAAAAAAATCTAACAGGTATCTTAAAGACCAGCTTATTTGAAAAGGTGACGGAGCAGTTGATTGTATCGGAGAAGGAGCCACTCACAACATGCTCTTGGGAGTTAATTTCCTTACATCTGTATTTAATCTCGAGAAAGGCTTTGCAGAGTGATATATTCATCTCTGAAGGCAGCTCGAGTGTTTAAATTTTAGATTTTAAAAACAGTATTTGTGGCATGAATGCCTTTGGAAATCTCATCCCTTCTTAATTGCTTACCTGTTCCTAGAGACAAGCTGAATGCCAATCTCTTGCCTTTAAAGGTTTCCTGTTCTTGTTCATAATTTTAGTGACATAATCCTGCACCTTTGATGTACTTCTGAGTGGTGAAGGGACAATTCCGCAGTACAGGACAGCTGAGGGGCTCTCTCAACTTGCCAGCCCCCGCAGCTAGCCGGCATTGTTTAATCTCCATAGCCTTCTCTCATCTAAGATCAGACCCTATCTTCACTCTTGCATTTTCTTAGCAGGAAATCAAACTAACAACACCCAATGGGAATAATGATGAGACATGAAAAAAACAAAACAAACCCCCAAACTCCAGTTTCGTGTTCACTTCCTCACTCCCACCCATTTCTCTCTATCTTCCTCAAGTACTGATCCATGGACAAGGCTCCTCTTGCCCACTGTCATAGGTCACGTCCCTACCCCAAAACTGGTATCAGAAGCCTACTAAAGAGAGGGAGATGATACAAGGCAACTTGGGAAGGAGGGGGCTGGGGAAGACTCCGGGCAAGAAAGAATAAAACAACTCATGAGTTCAATATCATGTCAGGACATGGCACTCCTAATGGAACAACATACCTCCACCAGATTAAATTTAAAAAGTTAGAAAGGAATTTCTTCCTTACACTGTCAGTACTACGCTTCTATTTATATGAACTCACCATATGAAGCACCTAAAGTAAGAGTTCCTTCCCCAAACTACTTTATATAGGATTATACGACATATTATAACTTAATAAAAACAGAGCTCTAGCCAAAGCAGAATAACTTGTATGTTAAAATATAAAATGAAAGTTACTGCTCTCGAGATAGAGGCTAACTTGAAAGTGATATGATTAATTAGCTAGCTATTGTAAGAAACATTGTTGGTATGGTATACTTAAAATTAGTAATTACCCACAAGTCTTAACCCCATCTATTACGATGAAAAATTCAAAGAGCAAAGGAGAGAAATCCCAAGAGATGTATTGAACTTCGTCCCGCCTGGAGTGTCCTTTTAAACCAAGTTCAAAGGATTTTCGTGGGCAGCACGTCGCTGCCTTACACTAGCTACACATAAGTAATTCAGCTTACTAAGTTGGTTATTCCAGAACTTTCCAAGCCAAAAATTTAAGCTGATGAGTGTTTCCAGAGTCACCATCCAGTTCCCTTTGTGAAAGGAGAGTCTAAATATGCCCTTTTCCAGTCTTCAGCACCTCATCAGTCCTCCACGGGCTCTCAAAAATGATAGCTAGCGGTTCTGTGATGACTTCGGCCAATTCATTAAGTACGCTAGGATGCCGGCCATTGGGACCTGTGGATTTGAACATATCTGGGTTACTGAGGTTCCGTTTTACCCATCCTTCCCCTAGTCCATCACGGATGCCTGTTCCTGCCTTCAAGCCAGGCTCATCCCTTTCTGGTTACCCTGTAGCCTTTTGAAAAACCAGCATTCAGTGCTTCCGTTTCTTCCACACTCATTTTCTCTTTTATGATAATAAATGGAGAACACACTATATTCTTCTGAAGCCTTTGGTTTATTTTTAAATGGTCTACTTTATTTTCTTATATATACCTTGTGAAAAAGGGAAAATGAAAACCTCAAATCTACCTTGCAATAATTTGGATTTCTCCGTCACATTGTTGAATACATGTGTTAGCAACTCTTAATAACAGAGCCCTAGTTAACATCCTGCAGATGCTCCGAATGCTAATGACTGCCTATCTCACGTGCAAAGGGAACTTTTGTATTCGACTTGTAACAGTAGACGCCAGTGCTAATTCAGAATGCATCTTCCAAAATAAAGACGATTCACAATCATCTTTAATCATTATCATTTGTATGCATAAACAATGACTTCCTCTGCAAGGCATCTCAGAAGCAAGAGCTGGAGGTGGATGAATAAGGATGTCTGTCAGAGCAGTAGCCCAGCAGAATGCATTTGCTATGTGGTCATCGGCGTCCAGGGCCTCAGGTCTACAACACATTAATCATCTCCAAGTTCTGCCAGGGGTTGACGTGTTAACCCCTGTGTTGTCACACCAACTCCTCTGAAACTGAAAGGCAGCCACCGATGATAGTTTTCTGCCCATTCATTACACTCTGCCGTGTGCTGAGAGTCCCCTGACAAGACCAGGAGGGACAAAGAGAGGAGAAAAGGAGAGGCGAAGGGACAAAGAAACCTGAGACTGTTCCCTGGTTTTGGATTTCTTGGATCCAACTGTTTGGTTTGGGTTTGTTTTTGTTGTTGTTGTTGCTGGTGTTTATGAGAAAAGGGTCTTTTGGAAAAGGCTGTGTATGTTTGTTTTCCTAATCTATCTCTCACTCCACCCTTATACAGAAGTTTAGTCTTTGAAACTTAGCAACGCCCCCCAAATGTAAATCATATTGCAGAGAACCCTTTTAGAGGACAATTCTACACACCTCTCTAAAATTTTTCTCAGAGCGTGGAATTCTCACCCTTGCTCTTGCAATGGCCACTTGCTGACTGCCACATTATCTGTTAGTCTGTTAGTCTGGGAGACACCCTCAGGGAATTCAAGCTGGTAGGAAGTATTACTGAGCAAGCTTCAGCGTTCTTCCTTCCAGAGAGAAAACTATTTGTTGTCCTCTGGGTTGGTATTTGGCTCTAACTCTAAGAAAGTTTTACTAATAATTAATATATTCAAAAGTCACCTTTTAAAAATCTAGCCTAACTTAATACCTCTATTAAAATCGCTTCCCATTGCAATCTGTTGTAGCATAATCTTTAATCTATCTTGACAAACAAAGTTGTTGAGATGGTCTGGAGAGCAGCAGGGGGAGGTGAAGCCCTAGAGAGGAGAGATCATTCTAACGCAAAGGTGCAAGTTCTCTTCACCGTGGGATTCTGTAGTTGACAAGCAAATGACAGGATATTAGTAACAACAGTTCTCTTTACCGTGCGGCACAAGGTAACAGCTGTTGGTATCAAGAAGAAGAGCAAGCATCAGAAAGAGACTCAAGTTAGGATGTTAGCAGTCACTAGGAGGAAGACAGTCTCTGGCTGAGAAAGAACAGGTCCCTTATACACCTGCCCTTGAAAAGGCAGGACTCTGAATGAAGTTACCTAAACAGCCTTCACGACCTCACATGTTCCAGGGACATTTGAAGAGAATAAATGCCTTTGGACAGGCTAACATCCTTCAAGTATTGACAGTCTCTACATTAAACTTATTTGGCAACTGGGAGGGAGCATGAAGTCATTTCACGAATCTAACCGCAAACTAACAGCCTCGGAAATCTCACTTGCCTTTGGTTCCACAAAAACAAAGCAAATTCACTTAACAAGCTGAGTCTTGCAATTTGCTATTTTTCCTTCCCGAGGGAAGAGAGCAAGAGGCCGACGAACAGGATTTCCATGGTTGGGTTATGGAGAGCTTCAAGTTGGGAGAGCAGCCACAGAGAACAGCAATTAGCGGAGCCCGTGTTGCATCACGACTTGGGAAATGTTAATATTCCCCCTGTTACGAATGCTCTCAGGGAATTGTGGCTTCATGCAGCACCCACAAGTCCCACTCAAATGAAATAAAAATGAGCAGACTCAGAATCCCAACTAGCTAAGCAAATAACGAAGACCTCTTAGGGTCAAGCCTGCATTTGGTAGCACAGTTCCCACACCTCATTCTTTTTATTTTCCCATTGCTCGTTTTCCCCCTAAATTACCTGGCATTCTCCTTCAAGGAAAAATGGATCTCTCTTCATTCCACCAAGGAAACAACTATCAATATATTTGATTGCTATAAATCAGTATAATAATGTCAAGTCTGAGTTATTTGTGCCCTTTTCCTTGGTTAGTGAGCAAGGTTGGCTTAACCATCATGAGAGTGAGATGAAGATGGGTCTCCATGGTACACTCTGCACCTAACGTGTGAGGTGCAGACTTCAGTTCTCAGCACTGGAGGAGAAATGCAAAGAAGAATCATGGAAGCAACATTGTATCCGGTGTGCTCTCCAACTTCTAACCCAACCTTGGGAAGAATGAATACTATGTTGGCTTCAGGTCTTAAAACAGCTTGAGTGTTCTTGTTTTTAAAGACCAGATGTGTTATAAGATTAAAAGAATGGTTTTACCCTCGGCATTGCTTTAAGCTAAGTGTGGTGGCAGACACCTGTATTCCCAGCACTCAAAAAAGACACAGGACAATCAGAACTCCATGGCGAGTTTGAGATCAGCCTGGCTACATGAGACCTTATCGAGAGACAGACAGAAAGAGAGAGAGAGGAAGAGAGAGAGAGAGAGAGAGAGAGAGAGAGAGAGAGAGCTAGAGAGAGGGCGGGGGTGGGGGAGAATATCTTGCTGGGTATGGTAGTACACGTCCATAGTCCTAATACTTTGAGACAAACTCCGTAAAATAAGAGACTGGCCTGGTCTACATGGACAAGCTAGGGCTGTAAAGTGAGACCCTGCCTTAAAAGAATAAGATAAATTTTAAAATAATCATAATAATTTTATTGTTTACAGCCTCAAAATTATCATCTCTAAATCACCAGGCCAGCACTGCTGAAGGGTTACATTCTGGTGGGTCCGTTCTGTTACTCTCCTCCCAACTTGGAGGGTACTCCTCAGTCTCCACATGAGAGACCCACAGGCCTAGTTCTTGGTCTACGCTGGTACTCCTCAGTCTCCACATGAGAGACCCACAGGCCTAGTTCTTGGTCTACGCTGGTACTCCTCAGTCTCCACATGAGAGACCCACAGGCCTAGTTCTTGGTCTACGCTGGTACACATTTCTCAGTCATGTCTGTTCTAGGTTTGAGTTGAGCCTCCTTCTTCAAGGATCTGGCAGTTTCTGTCTCTGCATCTCTACGAACTCTATAACCACACTTTCAGAAACAGCGCATTCGCGCAGAGGGTTCAGAGCCATGATGGGAAACACAGTTCAACCCACAAAGAAACCATTATTCTGTGCTTAAAAATCAAGATTTCTGAGATCTTATTTTTTCCCAGTTTGATTATTCTGATTTTTTAGCCAACTTCAAGTCTGTTACTCTTTGGAGTTTGTGGTTCTTCCCCTGATTACAGACAATCAGAGCTCTGCGGTGCAAGCTAACCCATCCTGAGAAGTTAGTGTAAACTTTGATATTACTCTAAAAAACAGCCACAGATGCCAATCCAATAGCCACGCCTGATTCGTGTTTAGTTACTCCAAAAAAGGTGGTCTTCTTGAATAATTAATTATCTTTTCCTGCATTGGGGGGAGCTGTCTCACAGGAAAAAAAAACCCTTAATTTTAGGATGATGACAGTGTCTCCTAGATGATAAAAGATAAAGACCAAAGTTGAAAATCTAGATGCTTCGTGATAGTTTTTAACTTTATAACATACTAAAGCTAGGGTTTTTGCTATTCAGCTGTGACATACTGGCCATTATTATTGAGCCGAGAAAGTCGGGGCTGTTCTTAGAGAAGAGACAAGCACAGCCTGGCTCTAATGGAAAGCTCTGTGAGCACAAACCTCTGTTTCAGACCTCCAACTTTCTCCTCAGGAATGCTGTCTCTGTGTGTTTGCTCACTGTTACGATCACTAGAACCATCTATAGTATCATTCTTGCACATGTCTCATTGAAATAAGCTCCTGTTGCAGGATTTTAATCTAGAAAGTCAGCTGGGATCCCATTTCCCTTCACTTGCATAGGGAAAAAGCTTCACATATCCACTAGGCTTGCGTTGGTCTTCACAGCCTTTTTAGTTCTTCTTTTCAGCATTTTGCTTAGGGATGCTCATGGCCCCAAGAAGAAAGAAGATGTGATATGATACTGAGCAGACAGCTACCACATAAAACATACCTTCGGCTGTCTTCTATCCTAGGGAAGCCTTACTGGGTAGCTTCCCTTAGAGTCTATAGAAGCATCAATTATTTTTTTCTTTAGAAACAAATACCTAAATGTCTTCAGTCAAATGATGAACAGTTTCTGATGATTATCCAATCTGTCTCTATCCTTGTATACTAGGGGGTGACTTAATGCTTTCTTTCTGGAACAAATTAAATGGATTATGAGGAACTGCCTCTCCATGACTTTCTCTGAACACAAACATTTTCAGTCTTCACTCTCTGACTTATCCACAACTTTTCAGCAAATGCACACTATACTAGAGAGGCTGCCTGGGAATTTTCCTAGCCACTTATTATTCATAAAACTCCTAAAACACACTCGGAGGTTAAAAAGCAAAAGCATCTTTGTCTATGCTCTCCTTGGGGCATTAACTGATGCTATAATTTTTCCAATTGAATAGTTATGTAAATTTCTAACTTTTTCAAAAGTTTAAGAAGCTGCTTTGCAGCCCTCAGCCCCA